GTGTAACATTCAAAATGGTTGATTTTACATTTTGAATCTTCTTAATAGGTTACTCACTACGATTAAGTTATTAAACCTACGTTGTTCTTCGTAGTTTGAATGATATATTACAATCGATAAACTTTATTTGCGCCTTACATCATTGGCTTGTTTTTTTTTGAATGATTTGTATCTTACTTTTACAACGTGTCAAACCTTTATCTTCTGTTGCTATCTGTGTTTGCCTTCCTTTTTTTCCTTTTTTTTGAAATTCTTATCAAACAAGCACTCTATGAGATGTACTGCACACAGCAGCGATAAAACATTCACCGACAGAGAAAACGACAAGTGACGACAAGGAAGCAAAAAAGCTTTAACTTGCTCAATGAAATGAATTTTATATGGAGTACACAGGCCGATATTTATTTCTGTATGATTTGAAATGGTTAAGATCGTTTAAAGATAGACAGTGACTAACAACGAGATATTTCAGTGCATCTTTATTCGATGATTCGATTACTGACAGTTAACAGCCCACAACTATTCTAAAAAATATTTGCACATTATTTCACGATAAAATATATAAAACGTATATTATCATAAATATGAGATAATATTTCTTTCAAAATGATACAAACATTGACAATTTTCAGTACAATTCATTTTTTCATTTAAGTAGATATTTTATAAGATTCGAGATTTCATCGTATTTCTCAATAAAAAAGAAGAAAAAAGAAAAGCATTCAACTTGTTCATTTGAACTTGGACTTTAAAAATATTAACATTTCCAAAGAAATCCTAAGATCAAAACTTGGTTTATTTTTTACCTGATTCTTATAAGAAAAACCGATCTTTGAATGTAGTATAATATGAATGCAAAAACTGAAATACTAGGTCTAGACTATTTTAAATTCTGGTGAATATATGTGAGATCTTTTTGAAGGTATTCTGTCGACTATGGAAGAATCAGACAACTGTATGACACACATGATAATGTAGACATATCTTGAAGTTTTCTTTTGATAAATTCTCATAATGAAAAGACGCTGATCGATAAAAACGAAATCGACATTCAAAGAAATCTCTAACGATTTTTTCATAAGTCGATCAGTAATCTATATTCTAGTAAACCAAAATTCATCTATAGAGGAGACATATTTAAGAATTTTTGCTCGAAAAAACCATTATCGAAGTTCATTATTTTCAAAACAAATTTTATTCGATTTCACTTCTTAGAACTTCAATATTCAATATCATTTCTTTCAGAACATACAATACTGGTATAAAAAATAGTACATCGTTTTTTGGTCGAGAAGATTGCTTTAGATCAATATTACTTGTGTAAAAAAACGAAAGGTGTTAAAAAAATTATCTTTTTCAATTTATAAAAAAATGATGACCTATTTATCAATAAACCTTTTGAAAATTAAGAATAACTAAAATTCCATCAATATTTATCTGTACGTTTATCACATCATGTTTTTACAATATGTCTATGAAACGACCTAATAGTAACTGTGTGGATATGGATGTGAGTGACTCCTCTTCAAACACACAGCTACCTCCTACATATCCATTAGCAAAAGGGTGTGGGTGTGTGGGTGCGGATGTGGGGTGGCTGGGGTATGGGTGTGGTTGAAGAGAAATACGAGACCCATATCCACACCCACATCCCACATTAAATACCAATAGAGTATATTTTATATAGAGATACATTTCTTCATTAATCTTCTATGAATAATTTCAAAATTATATGAAAATACAAAATAAAATTTATTTATTGTGTCTTTATATTCACTACACAATAACAAATGACCATAAGAAAGCATAGAGAATATTTTTAATAGAACACAACTGATAAATACAAATGAATATATTTCTCGAATGAATATCTGAAATGCTCAGATACGAATAAAGCAAAAGAATAGCTCTTTTTTTTTATAAAGTTATTTTTATAATACAAAATTCAAATAATTCTTCTGTTGTTAACACAAACTATTTTGCATTATGCATTTTCTTTTTCAAATAATAACTAAGTTTTATTTGATATTAAGGATATGATCATACAAATGCACACACTGTTCTTTTCCTTCTCGTTCACATCTGCGAAAAGAAAGAGAACTGATAAAGACCAGTCCCAATTCTGAGTAAAGGTATATAGATAAATCTGTATCCAGTTATGCTACCAGAAATTTAAATGTTGACCATGTATGCGTATGGATGGTATGGTAATTTATAAAGTAGAGAACTCTAACCTGTGTGGGTTATTGTAAAGGATTCAAACAATATAGTGAAATCAAATTGTACGATCTTATATGAACGTGCAAGAATCTGTGATTGATCTCATTGTCTGATTGATTGACTTGGATCCATTCGTTTGAGCTAAAACTTTTATAATGTAATAATTGTTTTGAAATCTGTTATTGGAGAAAGTTTCAAATGGAGACTCATTATTGCAGTTTTTTTTGCTAATATCCTGCAATATACTGAAAATCTAATAGAAAAATCATGAAAGGCTTAAGAGCACAAACATGTTTAATATTTTCATCATGACTATGAGTCCTACGTATGAGCTCGAACAGAGGATATCAGTTGGAGAAGTTCTCTCAATATCTATTTGCTGATAAATAGGACAAAAAAATGTTTGCTCATGTTTTTACCAGAGTCATACAAATTATATTTAAAAAAACAAAACGATTAATATATTATCTAGTTTATATTTGATCAAAAGTTTTCTTTTCTCTGAGTTATTATTCAAATCATAACACAGAAACTAGGAAATATTTGATACTTTTCGAGAGAATATCTATATGAAAAAAATATATATCTTCACAAATTTTTAGGTGTAGTAATAGAAATTGGTGATATGATTAGATGTTTTTTTAGTTTTACATTTGGTTCTTGTTGTTGTAACATTTTAGCAGCAGCAGCATGATGAAAGCCTGATTGATTAAATAAAAATGCACTAACATGTCCATGAGGAATATATCGAATATGAATACCAGGCCATACATTATTCATATGTGGAATACCATCACATAATACATAACCATGATGTGTACAAGCAATAAACATAGCATCAGATATATTTGATTGAACTGAACGTGAATAATCATAAAATGTTTGAGAGGCTTTATTTTCATAGAATTGTCGACAAGGTGGATCAGACCATCTACAATATAAATATATGCACAATGGCTACCAAAATCATTCAACTTTTACTCAATAAAAAACCGTTCTAGAGAGTTCAAGTACTAGATACTGAGAAATTAGGCTTTTGGGTTGTCTAAAAAAATCCTAACTTAGGGAATCAAATAATCAATGTTTTTAATTTATATTCTTTTTGCAATATGGTTTGCTCTACTTGAATCATTATTTGAAATTATGATAGATACTGTATATCCATTCATTAAATAGATCAAATAATAGAATTGAATCTTACTTTGTAAATGCTAATGAAGCCATATGTCCACGAAAAGAAAAATCATGTAGAATAGCTGATGTTAACTTCATTTTTTGACACCAATGAAGTAGCATAAGTATTTCTAAAACAAGTACTTCACCCATGATATATAAATTGGTAACATATAATAATGATGAACGAGATTGATCTGGTGGTTTTCTTAAACCATAATATGGATTTTCAAGAAGAATTGAACCTATAGGATATTGATTAATTAATGGGACTGCAGTAAATAACCTTCGTCGACTAAAACCATGATCACCTGTTCCAGCATAACAAATTCCTATTGGAATTGAATCAATACCAAAACGACGATCACATGGTAAAACAAGTTGAAAATGAGCTGTAGCTACTTGAGGTGGAACCTATTCAGATAAATATATCAAAAACAAAAAAAGATAATATTAATTAAATGATTAAAATGATTTTAATTTCTTACTAAATGTGGTAAATAATGAGCAAGTGGTGAACGAAATCGAGCATTTATATAATTTTGATTACCTTTTATTTCTTGTTTAATTATTTCAACCGTATTTTCTTGTATATTTTCAGCTGGTACAAGTTTTAAACATTCATCTCGTACACCAATTTTTTCACGTCGATAGGTAAAAATTTCTTGTAAATGAAATGGAATTGTTGATCTGATCTTCTTTTTCTTTAATCGAACAAAAAACAGGACAATACAATGCTTTAGTATTCTCAATGGTTTGTAAACACACACACATACAAAAAAAAAGCTCTTGTATGTTCTTTTTATTTTCCTAAATCAATCTCGTTAGTTTACTATGAAAACAAAAAAAACAATATTTTTATTGCATAGCACCAGTAATGTTAAGTAACAGTTGAGGACCATGTGGTAAATAAACGCTATTTCTTGATTTTGATAATTGATTTGCAATACCTTCAGCGGCTTTAATTCGTCGAAGTTCGACAAAAACCTAACATGAATATTAAAACAAAGTAGGACAGGATAATAAAAGATATTCGAAAATTTACCATCACCAACTTCATCTAAAGCGTTGCCAATCAAATCAGCTGCACGAACATCATCTTCTGCTGCCATAACATTTGCTTGACGACTTTGTTCAACTTGGTTCTTTTTTATCAAAAAAATCATACAAATTTTATTCTTATTCATTTACTTTTTCGACTAAAAATCGTTGTTTTTCAATATCTTGTTGTGCAACTTGTTTTAATTCAACAGCACTTGTAAATTCAGGTCTAAAACTTAAATGTGTCTAATTTAAAGAAAAAAACAATATAAACAACTCGAGATTCTTTTTTGTTGTATCTTACAATTGAAATATCATCAAGTAATAAACCAAATTAAGCAGCACGTTCTATTAATAATTCACTAATACATTGAGAAATAAGTGTACGTTATGTAATCAATTCAATAGCATTAAATTGAGACTTAGTGCAACAGATTTTAAAACTTCATTAATAATCGATGATAAAACACGTTCTTCATAATCTAAACCCAAGTTTGCAAAAAAGTTTTGGTAAAAGTTCAGCTCTTGGTCGATAAAGAATACGTAATGTTATATTAATTGTTTGTAAATCTAAAATAAAAATAATAAAATGTAATTTATGCATATTTCATTTATACGAAGAAAAAATAACGGAGACTTCCCGTTTTAAGTTTTATGAAGTATCCTACGATTGGTGAATGATGAAAGTATATAGGTGTACACCGATCAGTTGAGTCGCCATCGATGGCCACAATATTTTTTAAGATACTTCAGCCATATACATTCATTGATGTTTCAATAGATATCGTATTTACCTTCTTTTTTTTGCGAACTTACATTTTCCTCATGTTCACCTCTCTTCTGAAGTTGACTGTTTTCTTCTAGCTTTTATACCTTTTATTTCTGTTATTGATGGAACAGATTATGGTCGTGTACGAATATCAAATATAATTGGTTTATGAAGCTATGAAATCATAAAATGAGTTCCTTCTTCAATAACATCTAGTTTAACACCTGGGAAACGATCTAAAATAACATTTCGATGACCACCATCAACTAGAATATATTTATATTTAAAGAAAACAAGTTTTTTTTTTAATCTTTTCATTACTTACCATTATAAAGTATAGAATTAATCACACCACCACCAATACCTAAACCAATATCAATTCTTCTTAAAACACTAAATTCTTCTATCGAAATAAAATATTATCTCAATATCTTACCAATATTATTAAATAAACGAGATGAATTTATTAGCAAATAGTTCCAGAAACAAAACGACACCATATGAAAATTCTTTATATCTCTATCGATAGAAAAAGAAAATCCATCACTATTTAATCTATCTATCTACTACAATAACAAACCAATGTAATATATACATAGAAAAAGATTAAATAACAATAAACTTTGAAAGCAAAAAAAAAATACATGCATACTTTTAAATAAATCAAAATCCACTTGAAAAAATGTGAGCACTGTTTTTTTTTTAAACAAAACAAAAGAAAAACAAAACGTGTGTAAAGTTTAGCACCGTTCAGATATTGTTCACCATTGGGTTTTAATGAATTTGATGTATCACTGTTCTTTGCTACTGCAGCAGCAATTGCTTCGGGTGCTGGAACAGTCTATAAAGAAATTATTTATATTATAGAAAAACAAAATTTTTTCAATTACTATAATTTGATTTTGTTGGAAAAAATTGTTGTGGAAATGATGTACCATCAACACGAAAATCTTCAAGATTTCTATAGTTTTTTAAAATTTCTTCAAGTTTTGAATTGATGTTTGGGTTTTCTCGAGAATATTTTAAAAATGCCCAGAATTTTTCTAAACCATATAATTGACCTAAATAGAAAAATTCTTTTTGCTATTGACACTTTTCTTTTTTTTTTTGTGTAATCTATTTTATTACCAGCTTCATGATCACAAAGAGTTTCTTGTTGAAAATGTTTTTCTATACCATATGTATAAAATCGAAATAGACATTCAACACCATATCTATACATAAATAATAATATTCAATTTTTTTCTTATTATTTTTCATAAAAACAATTCATTTATATGCCGATGATCAGTTTTAGTATCTCCAACAGTATATTGTTTAAATTCATTGTACATATGACGATTAAAATTTTCACATGAGAAAAATGACTAAAAACGATAGCGTGTATTCATTTCCATTGATTGACCAGGAACAAGTTTAACGCGTTCTAGAAATTAGATCATTACAGAAAACAAAATATATTTTATTTGTAAATCAACATAACTTTAGATTATAAATATTTTCTATAAAATAATAAAGTGTAGCGATTAGTGAAACTTAGTGTTTTTAATCATTGACGATTATTTTATTGCTTTTCAAATTTATCATGTAGATAAGAATGATCGTATTTATTGAAAAAACTCCATAAAAGAGTAAAATCTTTGTTTTTTCTTTGAAAATTATAGCAACAGACATATTCTCTATTGGCTATTTAAATAAGAATATAAGTCTTTTTAGACTCTGATTTTTACCGAAGAGTAGTTTTCGCTGTTGCTTTTAGATATGTTGGCTGTTCTTTATTCATTAAGAGACTCGTTTCTTTTACGTTCAATATAACATAATTTCAATTTTTCTTACCAGTAGTTTGTTTCTCTCGAAATATTGTAAATATGTACTGAACTAATAAACTTTTTTTTCTCTACAATCAACGTTTTTTTTACCATCAAGACATTCTTGTTTATATTTAAGATAAACTTGTTGAATAAAACCATTTTGTTGTAAAAGTGTATGAGATGGATGTTGAAATTGAGGAATTTCCACCAGTGTTGAACCATAAATATCATATGAATTTGAATTATTTTCATACCAATAATGTGAATCATTGTATGATGATGAATATTGATCATAGAAATCTTGTTGTCGAGTTCTAAATAAGTAAAACTCATTTTATACTAATAATAATTGACATTCAATTGTTTGTATTAGGAACAAAAAATATAAGAAAATTCGTCAAAAAAAAATAAAGCAATACAAGTTATTTTTTTACTATATCCATTTATCTTACCCATATTGAACGACAAGAAAAATGATCTTATTAACTGTAATAAGTAAAGTGAAAGCAAAACGTTTAGAAATGCAGTATTTTTGACTTCTTTTCTTAACGATAATAACTACTATTCATTTCAAAATATATTGTGTTCCGTTGTTTTTTAAATAACTTGTGATAGGAATATTACAGAAACCTGCAGTTTTCAACATTCAAAAGAGAAGATCCAAAGCAATCGAAATATATCAAAATTTCATTGGCTAATTGGATAAGTTCTTGGCGAGAATTTTACAAGGTTCCAGATCTTCTCTCTTGAATGGTGAAAGCCGAAGATCTCTATGATGTTCCTATCAAAAGTTATTCAAAAGAAAACAATGGAGCACATTATATTTTGAAATGAGAAGTAGAACAAATCAAAGAATCATTTAAACATTTTTTTTTAAATTGGCATCAACTGTTTCTAATTTTCGTTGAGCTTTTTCATAATTATCTCTTAGTTCAGTCATTGTTTGACGAACAGTTGACTTATATTAGAAATAAATCAATAAATAAATAAATACTTGTTTATCTCGAGCTTGTTCGATAATCTTTTTAAATTGTTTAAGCCATTCTTGTCTTTTTGAATCAATAAAATCATGTATTTGAATTAAATCATCAACTGTTTGATTTAAAATCGATAAAGTACCGTTTGTTCTATATGGAGAACGATAACAACGTGCAACATCACTCAAACGAAATTCTTTCAATGACTTTGATACATCCTTATCAATACTTTTATTTCACTTACAAAATCTTTATTTATTTTCCAAAGATCAGACAATACTTTACAAGAATCTGAAATATAACGAACTCGATTGTATTAATCAGGTACATCATCACTTCTATATTAATAAATATTAAAAAAAACAAAATACTTTCATTTTTTATTTTCGAATTTCTTTGTTTAACCATATCGATAAATATCCTATTCAAATAAATTTATTTTCAAAACATTTTTATAAGGATCGATTAAATTTATTTCCTTAGAAATTTTTAATCGATAATTCGAACTATTTTATCATTATTTCGTCTTATAGAACGTTTCTATCTAGCAGTTAAAAATAGATTTTCGACAAAACAAGTTCAAATCGGATGAAATATTAATCATTTGTTAGCGATCGTTCAGTAGAGAGAAATAAATTGTGCCAAAATTGTTCAGATCAATATAATATTTCTAGGATAGATTATTAAAATAATAATAATCTTCGTTATCAATCTTTATATATAATAAGATAATCAATATAGATTCATCTAGAAACCGATTTATATAATAACTAACGAATTTTTGACCAAATGCAAGGAGATAGTTAACTATTTAAATTAGCTTTGAAAAAATAACAATAAAGATTTAATATGAAAGTTTGGTTTTTTTAATTCTACGAATATGAAAACTATTCTTTGAATCTATTTAAATAATACAAAGCGTTTGGTTAAATTTGAAAAATTCTTTTTAAAAGTTTGAATATTCTTCAAAACAAATGATATTTTATTTCTAAATAAAGAGTTTTTTTAATGAAAAAACAATAATTCATAATTATTATCTTAACTCGACAATAATAACATAAAATAATTTCATTATAAAACTATAGAAAAATTTTTAACAAAAAAAATATATCAGCAAAGGGTTAACTCAATTAAATTAAAATAAATAAATTGAATAAAATCTTATTTCTATAAATATTAGTCTAACGATTGAAATGATTTATTATATTAATATAAGATTTCATTTATTTATTTAAGAGTTTGATTTATTTCAATAAATATCTTCCATTCGTATAATATAAGTTAAATCGATCGAGTTATTTCGACTTCTATTGAAGATAATTCTTTGAATATATTATATCTTTCGAATATAATTTATCAGTTTTTTTCCCCTTATTTCAATATTAAAAAACTATTTTATTAAATCGAAATAAATCAAACATAAATAAAGATAATAAATGAGATTTATTTTTATTTTTAAATAGAATATATCAATTCTATATATTATTTTAGTTTTGAATCGCTAATATAAATAAATCTATTAATATTATAATATAACTATATTCAAAAGAATTACAATTATAACAACAAAACAAGAGAAACATCTTATTATATAAATCAATTATTTAAAATGCTAATTAAAATAAATATATATATATATTGAAAAAAAACTTATATAGAATAAGTTGTTGTCTTTTTATTTAAATTAAAAAATGAAAATCTCATCCAAGAATACGCTGCAAGATTTGATCGTTGTTCGGAATTTGATCGATTATCATCAGATAAATAAGTCTGATTTGCTAATCTTTCAATAGGAGAATTCTTTCTATTAAATGATGTCATGCGCACTCTTTTTTTTTCAATATTATAATTATATAACGAAACGACGAAAAAGAATGGAGAACCCTTCAATAATCAATTCTTTATAAAATATTGAAATATAATATAAACAAATCATTCTCTAATAGAGATATTTTATTTCTAACAGTTAACTATTTATCGAGATAATCTCTTACTTTTTTAAACAATTAACCATTTACATTGAAATAAAACTTTCGATTTTACGTCAAATTATCTTTTATTTTCATTGAAAATTGTTTTTTCGATTGAAATATTCTAATAAGATATAATATATGTAAAATCTCGTTTTGGTCTTCAAAGATAATACAACTATCAATCTTATTCTATAGCCAACATTTTATCTCGGAAATAAAATAAAATCAGTTTACCGGATATATTATATAGGATATAATTCCAAAACTATGATATCTATTTATCGTCTAGAGATAGAGCCTGTAACCCTAATTTGATCACGAATTTTTTTCTTTTTAGAAAAAAGCTC